CACCTCTTGAGTGCCGCTCAGCGGTAGTTTGCCGCTGAGCGGTGCCTTCGACTTCTCCTTTTTGCACTCTTTCTTGTCTTTTCTAATGTCCTCTCTCTTATTCTTCACTTCTTTCACCAAATTCACCTCAAAACCTGCACAAAAACACTTAAATCAAGCATAAACCTGTCCAGCTCTCTTATTTCTGAAAATATAAACAAAATGCATGATTTCAAGCTAGTTTCTAAGTCTAAAGGTTGCTTTTAGTATCACTTTTAAGCATGAAAATAACAGTTTTTCAACTGTTATCGAATAGGAGTCCTAAAATCGGAAGTGAAGTTCAAGCCAATACAGGTTTGCGGAGGCACGATTGAACTACAATGGCGGTTCACGAGATCACGTTGCGGTTGAAGCACAATGGAGGGAGGCGAACTCCAATACCCCGCGCCTACGACCCTTGGACAAAATAGTTGTGACGATTCTTAGATTGGGGGAATCAGAGAAGGGAGGGCAAATGTGTTTCAATGCGAAATGAAAATGTGAGAGGGAATACCTGATTTTCGCCCTACTGATAATGTGAGCGGCGAACTCCGGCAACTAACGCAGGCGAACACCGGTAGCCAACGACCAAGACCCTTCGAGAAGATGACTCTAAGGACATTCTTGGAATGGTCGGCCGAATGACGAAGATGGGTTCCTTGATTGAACGACAAGGCTAGAGCACAATGATGGTGAAGGGAACAGTGTGCACAGGCAGCAGAGGGAGTTGGGAGAAGGACTTAGGAGAAGAAAGAGTTGGGAGATTTTGAATATTGGGGGCAAGAAGAGCTTTCGTGAAATGAGGGGGAGGGAAAAATTTTCTTATACACCAACCACTTATCGAAGGTCAAGTTCCTTCGGTAATGTCCCATGTCAATTACCGAAGGCCGAAATCCTCCAATTATGTACTATTAGAGATCGTCAGAAAATCCTTCGGTAAACAAAATTTACCGAAGGCCTAAGGGCCGTCGGTAGTAGCCCGCCGGTAATCCATGAATTTCCTGTAGTGCAATAAGTTTTAAGTCGATTACATTGGTGGTGAAATCGATTAAAACTCATGTGTTTGCACAAATTATTTTCAAGTGTTATGTGATGAATTTTGAGAAGATAAGTTTTTAAAAATATGCTAAGTGTTACTACTTAATCGATTGCATGCATCTTGTATTCGACTAAGTTTGTTAAAAGATTTGAAAATTGTTTCAATGCTTGACATAACTATCACAACGGTCATATTTTTAAATATGTTGACCAAACATTTATTGCAAATCAATTACATTAATTGCGCTTTCAATTAATGCATTTGACTACTGTTAATCTGTTATAACTGTGAAATGCATTCGACTAGATTAATAGCGTAATCAATTAAAACACGTTTGATTTGTCTTATACTATATATAGATGCATGATTTGATTTATGTAAGATGAATGATCTTTACACTTTCATATCTTTTCTGTGTGCTTTTTGAAATCTTACAGAGGAGAGAAAAGCTCCAAGGATCAAGAATTACCGTGGTGATAAAGCCTTGAGGATTTCTTGTAAAGCAAGATTGTGTGATTGGAAACGTCTGATCATTCTGCACAAGAAGGTGCTTTCTATGTGATCAGGAAAAGCTTTGGCGAACGCTGAGAGTTGCTGGTATTCCTGTGGTGTATACAGGAAGAAGAACGTGGTTCTTGACTTTGAGGGGGATCTCAAAGGGGTTGAGAGCATAAGAGGATTGTTCTTGCTGCTTGTGTGTTTTGTGTATTGCCTATACTTAGATTAGTGAGTTAGAGAGGTGATTGAATTTTGACGTGAGGTTGCTGTAAAGCCCTTGGTGTAAAAACTCATATCTATATAGTACATTGGCTTCTATCTCGGGTTGAGTGGAAGGACACTGGATGTAGGCAGATTGGTCGAACCCGTATAAACTACAGTGTTTAGATTTTCTTATCCCTTCTCTCTGCATTAAGTCGATTATACTGTCATTGCATTGTTTCATAGCATACAAATTTACTTGTGATTCAAGAAAAGTTTAAAACTTCCTATTTTGCAAAAAAGATTTTAAAAGCAATCATTTTTACACATCACCAATTCACCCCCCTCTTGGTGTGAGAAACGAAGCACTTCTTTTTTAACAAGAATCATTGACTTGGCGTTTTCCAACTAGCACCCGGTTGTGCCCTCCCAGTGCCACACCAAATTTCATTGTGAATTAGCAATTTGATTTGTGTAATTGGTTTGTCTGTCCTTTTTCCTTCTTTGCAAACTCATAAACGGTTACCAAAATAGTGTATAAAATGTTCTCTCATAAGATAATTACTCAACTAAATTTCAACTTTGAACCACTCCAAACAATCATACAAGAAATATACTATGAGCATTATATCAAATGACTTCATACTTTCAACTCAAACACAACTAAAATATCAGGCTTAATCATGTAATATAGTTTTCTCATTCATTCCATTATCACACATTGAACCAAATCAATCAATTAAATAATAGGCATATACCAAATTTAAGGTAAAAAAGACAATGTACCAAACATTCATCTAGAGAAAAAAATTGCTAGAATTAAAGATTAATGTCCCTTTTTAAATTGTCATTTTTACTTAGTTACTCCTTACAACTCTATTCCTCACTAATTTAACTAGATATATAAAACTTAAATTAAAAATCTAAACATATCACCATGATCATATGCAACATAGATTCACTTTGAGCAAATTTTAGCTGCCTGCATAACATCTTTGCCCACATGCAACTCAAAAAGCAAAACAACCTAAAAAAAAAGAAAAAAATTGAACTTACTTTGTTCTTCCTTCTGATAAGGTGAATTTAGAGTTCTTCCTTAGAAATACTTCTACTATTTTTGATCTTCAAAAGAATGAAAATTGAAACAAGAAAGGTAGTGAGAAAGTTTAGAAAAAAAATTATAGATATAATAATTTTTATAAAATAAACTTTAATTAATAAAAAATCCATTTACACTTTTATTATTAAAATATTATTATGTTTCTCCTGTAAAAATGCTTACTCCTCTTAAACTATTATTCTAAGTTCTCACACTTAGACGATTTGTCAAGTTAAAAGAAAAAGATATTTATAGTAGAAGACTATGTGTATTTGTCTTTTTACTTAGTTTTATGCACGGGAAAACTTTAGCTTGATTATGTGTTCGATAAAAATGCACAATGAATGAAATATTCTTAAGTCACATAATTAACAAATTACTTTAGCATTCCTAATTTCTTTCTTTCCTTTACCCTTTTTCATTTTAAAAATAATGACTATGGAGTATTTGATATGATATGATGATATAGAGTTATATTAAAATTGGACACGTTTATTAATTAATTGGACATCCTTTAAATTTATATTTTTAAATTTTATTCAACTTATAATAATTAAATTTCTGAAAATTGTAAAGAAGGATAATTGCATTTTACAGATTTTGGAAAAAGGAAAAAATAACAAAAAAAAAGAAATCTTTGAAAAAAAACTTTATATTCTAAATTAGTTTTTTGAAAATCAATATAAAAATGCAATTTGTTTATTTCACTTTGTTAATTTTTCTTTTATAGAAAACCAATTTTTGAATCATCTTTAAGACAAACGATTTAAAAACTAACAATTTTTACACAAGTTAACCCAATAATCACAACTTTTTGAATTGATAAATATTAGATTTAAAAGAATTTTCTTATATTTTTTTTTTGAAAAAAATTGGTTATATCTAAAAGCTCTTAAATAAACGATGTAAAATTAAAGGGTATTGTTCGAAGTTTTTTTTCTCTCCCAATGTTGATATCTTCAGCCAGGAATTGAATAAACATTAAAAGACGACACGTATTCTTCTTCTTGGTTTGATCTATACTTGATGTTTACACTATTACTATCAAATATTAGCTTACGGGCACTTTATTTTGTATAAAAGGAAAACATTGTTTCAAAAGTTCAGAAGTGAGAAAAAAATGTATAAATTTATAGAAAGTACATAGTTTGCATGCAAATAGGAGATTGCATAACTTTGTTATTAGATCAGTTCCTGATGTGGTGGAGGGACTCACAAAATAATATAATCTATCATTTAAAATTAGAAAAAGGAATTGTTGAAAAATAATAATATAAAAAAAGTTAAATGGTTGAAATTAGTATATACCTTCAACTTTTGACTGTTAATTCTTTTTCATTTTCTGATTGATAATCTTGACAAACAAGATTGACATGAGATATCTTGTGCCAATCCTCTCCAACTTCTGGCCTGTATCTTTTCCATAATTCAGAAGAACCAGTGACATTAATCACTTTTAGATTCGTGACGTGATGTATGTTATCAGGGAGTGATAATACTTTTGGACAATAGAGAACTTCAAGTTGTTTGAGACAATTCAGAGTTGGTAGCCAATCGGGAAGCTCATAAATATTTATGCAATGTTGAATAACTAAGGATTGTAAAGAGTTGGCAGATCCTTGAAGCCACCGAGGCAATGTGACTAGACTTGCCAAGTCAGAAAGAATGAGAAGCTTCAACCTTGAATCAAGGATTTCGTTGCTAAGGCCCATTGACGATTCCAACTTGTTGCAATTGAAAATCATTAAGACCTCTAAATTTTTTATGGCATGGAACGACACCGTCTTTAGACTTTTACAATCAGTTAAAGTCAATCCTTTAAGAGTGTGCAGTAGTATTCCTTTGAACAATGACTCAAAATTATCACATTAATAAAAGCCTAATTGTTCTAAAGAAGTCAAACTTGCAACTTCTTTTTCTGGAAAAACAGGTTGTTTGGTGGTTATAAACAGGTGACGAAGGCTTATTAGATTTCCTAGTCCTTCGGGTAACTTTTGTAGCTTTATGCACCCATTAAGGATCAAAGATTGCAAATTTTGAAGTTTGCAAATTGAATCAGGGAGTTCCGTAAGGTTTTCATTTTCCAAAAGGCTGAGAGATCTTAAATGTTTCAACTTTCCGATGCAGCGAGGCAGACTTGCGTATTCAGAAAAATCTAAGTTTAAAACCCTCAAGAATTTGCACCTTGACACCAATGTATTCAAGAAAACTTCATTATTAGCTCCCCTAGGAAAAGTGATGCTTCTGAGACTTCTGGGAAGAAGAGTTTGATCAAGCAAATTATTTGCCGCAAATGTCAAATGATGGGCATTCTTGTATGATTTTGGATTGTGGTTTTTTATTATTTCAAACTTACCTTTGGCAATATATACTGCTAGTTCAATCACCAAATCATGTAATTTAAACCTGCACTCACCTCCATGGTCTTCATATTCTGAAAGAAAAGATCTTGACCATAGCTCATGCAACAATTGAGTGGCAACATCAATCATTGATTCACCTGCCTTTGGTGGTGGAAGAAAACCAAGTGCTCCCCATAACATACAAACTTGAGAACTAAAAAGAAAAGTGTCTTCTGGGAAAAGGGAGAAAGAAGCAAAACAGGGTTTTAAATATGAAGGGAGTTGATCGTAACTTAGTTTGAGAGCAGGCAAAATGTCTTTTTCATTTTGTTTTAAATTCCAAATCTCATTGTCTCTTACACTCTCCCATTCTTTCTCGTCAACCCTTGAGAATAGTGAACTTCCCACCGTTTTCACCGCCAATGGTAACCCTCCACATTTGTTTACTATTTCTTCCCCAATTTTCAATAGTTGTGGATGTTTCATCTCATCTCCATCTTCAAAAGCATATTTCACAAATAGAGAAAGAGAATCCTTTTCAGAGAGACATCCTAAAAGGTACGAATTTGAGGATTTAGTGTGCATAATGGCAGCTACTTTATGGCTACGAGTAGTCACTAGGATTTTACTCCTTTCAACACCCACATCTATTATTTCCTTCAACTCATCCCATCTTGCACGATCCTCGTTCCACACGTCATCCAACACAAGCAAGAACTTCTGCCCATGAAATGTATTTCTTAAATGAATTTGAAGTTGCTCTATGTCCAAGTTATTGAAGTTTTCCCCAATTGGGTTTGAAGCAGAATTGAGGATTTTAATGAGCACATTCCTAAGTTCAAAGTCATTGGAGACACAGATCCACATCCTCAAGGGAAAACATGCATGAATTATGGGATCATTGAAGACCAACTTAGCAAGTGTGGT